CCGCGCGCTCATATGACCTTATGCAGTTGCGAGCGCCGTAAAACCCTATACTAAACAAACAAACAAACAAAATAGGGGGTAATTCAGGTCTCTGTTTCTTTGCTCTTTTGCTATAAAACACCAAATGCTGAACACTTTGAAAAAGTTCAGATTTGCTTCTTTATAATAGTGTATGTTGTTTGTATGTTGAGAATGAGCAGGAGAATCGCCGTGGAAAGGGAAGCCCCTCGCGGTCGGAATGCAAGGTGGGCGGTTCAAAATTGACACCCATGCATCCCAGTGCTTTACAGAAAGATTGATGATTAAATACCGTCTTTTCATTGGTGGAGACTTATACAGCTTTGGGCGTGGTTTCACGTGGTTATTATTATTTATTTTTCTTGGCCTTTGGCGTTTGGATAGAAACCCTTTAAAAAAAGAATCTAAGTTTCAAAAATAATTTTAAACACGAAATGTGTAAAATACAGGCTAAGAAGGTACCAATAGAAAGAACCGTTCTTTTTCTATTAGAATAAAATCATCGGCTTGGAATTATTTTGCATGAATCTTTCCGCGAACTACCGGGAGCACTAGCACACTAAAGTATTGAGTCAACTCGGTCGCCGCGAGGGCTGGTCGACGCCGGCTGAAACAACTCTCTGTGGTTTTATTGAAATAACGACCTATCATCGCGTTTGAGGCAAAACAATACAGATTTGTAATAATCTCACAGTCATGAAAAAAATTAGGCTTCATTTCTTTATAACAATGATTGTACTATGTTAATGTAGAGATGTTTGGTGCACTTGGTGCTCTTTGTCAAACATGGGGTTGCTACCGACTTCAGCAATATTTGATTATTATGTTAAATTGAAACAGCTGCCATTCTCTTAAACATTGGCTGAGAGGTAAAAGTATGGTACCAGAATTCTCAGGAGACACAGGCCTTTCATATGAAACAGGTAAATTTGACTTACAACTACTTTGAAAATTTAGTATCAGGTCCTTAGGACAATGCTAAAATCTTGTTGCATTTGACGTGAAGACCGTTCTCGTGAAAATTTTGTTTTTTCCAAAAGTTTTTTTTCTCTGAGCATGAATAGTTTTCTACGTTAGTATATTACCTTGTAGTGGCATACCCAAGATAACTGCTAAATTTCAAGTCTTTATCTCAATTCTAAGACCCCCATTGCTAGGGAAACATGTTGCTTAACTTCGGAGGCCATTTTCTCCTTTTCGTGTTTCCTCACCTCGCACAATTAAAAGTTCTGTATTTTCGTCAAATATGGTCATATTTACGTAATTCTTGTTTTAAATTGTCGGGAAAAGGTGATAGTTTTTGAAAATAATGTTAACTCAGTTTTGAAATTTCCTTCATGTGACTGATATTGACCGGCAGGGACACATATTTTTAAATATGGAATATTAATTACCCCAGCAAGAACACAAGAAAAACGGCCTAATTACACTACGAAAAACGCTTTTTTATTATCATTACTCATTGTCTTACATTTACAAATTGTTTGTATAGACAAAGATAGTACAAGACTATCATTGGTATAGATCAAACCTCTTTGGCTGTCGTCCAACGAAAGCCAATCTGTCAATGAGTTGTCTAAATGAAATTATTATTACATGGATTCTCTACAGGCTTAAACATGCGGTTCTAGAAAATTACCTGGCAACTTTGAAAGTACGACGCATCTTCTGCTATGATTGCAGGCCTAGATTCTAGATGTAGGCCTAGATATATCTAGATGTTGATCTAAAATCAAATACGTAAGGCCTATCATCCAGACCTGGATCTAGATCTAGATCTAGAAATCTATATAAATTCCAGTCAAGTGATAATGAATCGACCGGCGATAGGCCAACACCCAGGTAGTGCGTTTTTTGGATTCATATAATAATGATAATGATAGTAGATCCTAAGCCTACTAATCACCCCGGTGATCTTGTAGTTCCGTTCGTTAAAGTCCACGATCCATTTGTTTACATCCAGAGAAGAAATCCAGAAGTCTTGAAGACCAAATACTATTTGAATTAGGCTACACAAAGAGCAGGGATGCAACCTAACTGCAAAACATCAAATTAGGATAACATTTTATTCAGGGGGGCATGCCCCCTGAAGCCCCCCACCTCCACATGTTTTTTAGGTCAGGGGGGCAAGCCCCCCTGAAACCCCCCTGAAACCCCCCTGCTTGACTTTAACGAACGAAACTACAAAATCGCCATCACACCTTGTATTCCTGCCAGTAACCCCTTCCATCATATGGCTCTGCCTTTCCGTATCTGTATTTAGATGTAGATACATCTAGAACTAGATCTAGATGTAGATATAGATATAGATCTAGAATCTAGAACTGGATCTAGATTCTAGATGTAGATCTAGATTTCTAGATCTATTCTTTAGGCTATACCTCCATGGCCACGCACTTGTTTCCCGTAGCCTACATATGTCTGTCTGTCTGTCTGTCTGTCTGTCTGTCTGTCTGTCTGTCTGTCTGTCTGTCTGTCTGTCTGTCTGTCTCTCTCTCTCTCTCTCTCTCTCTCTCTCTCTCTCTCTCTCTCTCTCTCTCTCTCTCTCTCTCTCTCTCTACCACTCCTGGCCATATATTAGTGTTCCCCTTTCTCTTTCCGATAGGCCTATGCGTTCACCGCACCGTTTTGCGTTGTTGTGACATGAATGTAGGCCTACGCACTTTGTTTTTGTTTTTTTCAGCTTGCCTGGTGCAGATCAAGATGAAGAGATTTTAGATATACATGTATTCTAGATTGAGTCATTTTGGCTATATTTTGAATGTTCCTGATGGATGAAGCCCGTTGAGGGCGACACGTTGAACTAGTCATTTAATATTTTGGAAATACTAGATCTACATGTGCACAGGTCTTATCCGTTTTACTATCTGCTGTAGGACTAGGCCTACACAATAACAATAATATAATAATAATAATAATAATAATAATAATAATAATGATAATAAGGTAGTGTTAGGGGCAATTAACACTCTAGCTCTTTAGATCTGGATCTAATAATATTAGATCTACATCTACATCTAGATCTAGAGTCTAGATCTAGATATCTAGTCTAATATATAGATTTCTAGACATCTAGAGAAACGGTTCTGAAACGCATCATCGCAATGATTAAGAATCTTGATACTTAATTGCAGGCAAGTGGAAAGCTAAATCTTATACGTTTTTTCCCCCATTCTGATTAGCCTTACACTCTTACTCTTTGATTTTATCCTATATTTATTTATTTTCAGCTCGTATTGTCCTGTTTGATATCAACCCCCCTTTTGAAATTCTTGCTGGTCGGTCTATATGTGATGCTCTTGAGAATGTCTTATGTGTTGGATCAAGCCTGGCAGGTTTATCACGAATCCCTCTCTTTGGAATGTACGTTCTGACCACGTTCCCTGATGTGAGTAGGACTTGTTAGATTTCTATTGGTCTGTTTCATTGCGTGGTTCAATATGACTTGTTATGACTGATAACCTTGTGGTTAAACGTGAGCTTCTGGCCCATCTGTTTGAAAATGAGCATTTGCTTGTTGAGCTAGGCCTACCTATGATTCACACGAGATTATATAGCAGGCTTTTCAGTAGAGTAGAAGACATACGCTTGAGCAATTTGAACATTTTCCACCCTCTGACAGACAGAGGTAATTTGCATAGTGGTATCAGTGCTTTTCGTGTATCAAAACTTGCATTTTATGTGTGGAGGTATTGTAAACAAAAAGCCCCCAGTCAATTGTCAGGGTGATTAAACTTGGGTTTTCTTTCTTTTTCTTTTCTTTTGTTAGAGCTCAGTGGATGGATTCGCCTGTTTCAGCGTTGCATTTCAGCTGGCAATGCAAAATTGTTACCATTTCTTTACTTCAAGCAAAATTGCGTTCATCATTCATCTTTATCCACAGGTCTACAAGCCAGGTTAGGTTACTTATATTTATTTGACATAACATCAAAAATATCTAGTTATTTTCCCTGATCAACAGATGATCTTACCTCTGACTCACGTGAGGAACAACTGTGTCCGTCTGTACACAGCGCTGCAGGACATCAGGACTTTGTTAGATGAGTCTCTGCCAGATCGTAGTCCCACGGAAATGGGCCAATGCTTAGCTCAGGGGCTGCTGGAAGCCTGCAGACAGTTCCAGCGGTACATCGGGAATGTCCAACAGGTAGTCAGGCCTTTGTTGCAGAACAACAGAGATTTGTTATCTACATCTAAAGAAGAAATAGCTTTCATTCTTTCATTGTGGACTTCTCCCCCCCCCTGTTATTTTCTGGGGTCCAAAAAAGAAATTTTTAGTGCTTTCAGTAGAATGACTTTTAGATGGGTAGTTATGAGGGGATGTTCTTTAGAAACACAGGCTCGCCCTAACTAAATGAAAAAAACTGGGTGCTTCATCTTATTTATCTGAAATCACAAGCTGTCATTTGAAATATTATGCCAAAATGAAAATGAGTTCCAATATCCTTATGAGGATTGATAAAATACATTTTCTTTTGTAGTCTTTAAAAAAAAAATGCGTCTTTCATACTCGTTCTTGTCTGTGCCCTAATGGCAAAGATGTAAACCCAGCGCAGTGATTAAAGTTTAAAGTTATAATCTATTTCCGATGTGCATGAATGTGAGAGACTGGTTTACAAGGAGGGATCTCCTTCTTGTTTTTCTGTCGTTTTAATTGACCTCTTGCTCTTTCCCATTGTTGGATTACATAAGACTATCATACTCTTGCGGTGTCACACTAGCTGCAAGAGATTACACATTTTCATTTTGTATGACTATGATTATGATGTGTACTGTGGGTCCGGACATCTCCTACGATTGCCAACACACCATCCAGCACAACGTGCCTACCTCCAAAAATTCGATGGCAACAAGGCTAGAGGGCGACCGAGAAAGACCTGGACAGATGGAGTCAGGGAAACATTAACCACCCACGGCATCCCCCTGAACCAAACTCTCCGGCTGGCGACAGAGAGACGTCTCTTTCTTCCCGCGACACCCAAAAGGGTATAAGCGGCGGATAAAACAAACAAACAAACAAACAAACAAATAAACTGTGGGCCCTTTTGTTTGAAGGAAACTTCCAGTGAAAAGGGTGTTTAATTATTTATCTTATAACAATAGCAACAACAAAATGTAGCAGTTTATTTTGAGTTTCCATATTATTTGCCTTTTTCATTAATACAAGCTTACATCATTTTCTATGAATAAGATGATTTCGAAGACTGTTGGGCATCTCCTACAGAAATCATGTTTCAAATGAGTAAGTGAGGGACAAAATCAGGCTTGCCATTGGGCCCTATGAAGACCTTCTCACCACTGAAAAAACAACAACAACGCAAATCGAGATCGTTGGGCACATAACAAGATCAGCAGGACTTCAATGGTGATCCTACAGGGCACTGTACATACAAGGAGGAAAAAAGAAAGGCAGGCAGAAAAATAGATGGGAAGAAACATAACGGAATGGACAGGTTTAAGGTTGGGCGAAGCCTTTGAAAGGCAGACAATAGACAAGGGTGGAGAAAAGTGGTTGCCCTATCATCCATAGTGCCCCTGACAGTCGTCTAAAACTGAACTTTTTTACTCAGAGAAAGTGCATACTTGAGGAAATTAGAGACGAAAGATGCATTTATTTATTTATCAAATCAGGGCTAACACATTACATGCATTTGAAGTAGAAAGCAAAATGATTTGATTATGAACAAATACACTTCTCACTTTTTAAAATATTTTCAGGCATCTTTGAATTTTAACCAACTTGAGGTGATTGTCCTCACAGCCCACCCAGGAGGTTATGTACAGCAGAATCTCAAGGACTTGCCAAGTCAGGTTGACCTGACATTACTCAAGGTTTGTATATAAACAAAATATGAAGAGTTTTTACTTTAAAATGGGACTCATTAATTTTTTCGGCTTTCAGAAAAATAAACATATTTTTTCTTTACCCATTCGCCTGAATATATTTCTAACTTAATGTAGATTTCAATTTTCAATGTCATTTTTTTGCATGCAGTCTTTCAAGTTCTCTGCTGCCGCCAGTATACACATTATGAAACAGGACTGACCTGAAGACAAAGTCTCCCATGTACAATTTCATACTTGTTTTGAGATTGCTATGCAATACTTGTGCCTGAGACAGATTTTTTCATTAGTAGATGCAAATAGGACCTTCTTGAGCGCATTATAATTTCCCCCCCTCCTCTTGAATTTATACAAATGACCCTTATCTCACTTTGATTGCAATCAATCATGTGTAAAATGCACAGCTTTCCTTTTCGACTTTCTTGGCTTGTGTATTGTTATGAAGCTAGTTGGTTGCATGAATAATATATTTTTGTGAGTGCCAATGTGTTTTTAGTTTACACGTGTTTTGTTGCCTTCTCAGCGTATTCTCAGCGTTAAAGTCAACAGCAGTATGTCGGAGAGCATTGACACAGCCAGCCAGGAAACAATGGCTGTAGATGGCGCTACAGAAGACTACAGTGGCTTGGTGGATATGTTGTGCTTAGAATGTGGTAAGACACTAATAATAATATTGAAAGTCACAAGAATTGAGTAAATTCCAACAGCATTCTGCTCTAAAACCCTAAGTTAGAGGAGCATTTTATTATTTTCAAAGCCTGAAAATAGTACACATGTTACCAAACTGACGGTAGCGTTAGAAATAAAATAGAATTTAAGTGATTCAACCTGACTTTGGTATTTTTTTCTCTTTTCTATCAACAGATCAAGTGTCTCTACATAGGTTTTTTTACAGCTGGCTGACTGACACTCTCAGTGAAAGTGAACATCTACATGTGTTGCTTCCGCCACCGACGCCAGGTACATCCTTATTATGCTTTTGCGCCATGTGCACTCTGTGCAGAGTCCATTGTATAGTCTACTGTGGGCCCACATCAGTGTTAAAGTTTGCCGTAGTCCAGGGACACCATCAGTATTGTATCAAAGAAAAGAAAATCGGTGCCGCCCACTTGACGGTTGCTGTGATAATGCGGTCTACCATAAACCTCGCCTGAATGACCAAGGTCTAACGGATAGTCTGTCATGATAATACATTTGCCTGAAAGTAAAGGTCTGGGAAGGCCAATTTTCTACTATCATTCCCACACTCTGATGCATGACTTTCAAGAGCTCAGGGAGGACAACCCCTCTCCCACCCTTCCCAGACAAGCTTCAACAACCAAAACATCTTTAATACTACCAAATTACAGTCGCAGTCCCAAGCCTGTACAATTATAATATGTTGATATTCATGACTGTATTAAATATAAAGTCGTTTTTAAAAACTAATAATTCTCAACACATTGTCTGCAAGATGGATCATGGTGCAAAAATACAACTTTCAATCATCTAAGAAGTTACGCCCTTTTGCAAGTCCTTCCATCTATTCTATTGATACACCTAAAAGTTAAGGTTGAAAACAGCCAAATTTGAAGTCAGCACAGCCAGAGCAGTGTCAGCAAAGATAGTACAGCCTACTGTAGGGTGTAGTATCTTTGGTGTCAGATAGTTGGTCTCCTTGACTCCAACTCGATAAGGCGCTAGGCGGGGGCACTCCTCTTCCTGGTAAGAGAATCGCTAGGTAGTCGGGGTTGCTTATTCAAATTAACAGCTAATCTCCTTTACAGTAACTATTCATTGTCTGCCACATGGGACTCACTGGGTCGGGGATGGTCGTCCCAAGCCTGATTGGTTTCACTGAAATTGAAGGTGGGACTTGGCCACTTTGTTGGTTGTGAGTTTCACAGTGTTGTCAGGTTGATTGACCGATTGTTTTGTGTCATGAACACTGCACTCTGTATTTTTAAAAATGTATTCAACTATTCATAATATAATAAGGAAGGGATGCCCCCCCCTACTGATATGAGTTATAAAAGAATCTATGTAACATCTCCATCAATGAAAAGACACAGCTGAAATATTGTTGCTTTAATGACTTTTTTCAAGCTGATACAGAGCTTCTCATCAAGTGTGATGTACTGGAGAAAATGCTCAACCCTCAACGTTTGCCTTGTCACAACAGATATGTAAGTTATTATTTATTTTTTTCCTCATCTTCTTCTTCATGGGAATAAGAAAGGCCTCTGTAGCATCGGTGCCGTACTAGTGGTTAGACTCTGGGACTCGCAACTGTAAGGTTGTGAGTTCGAATCCCGTCAGGGGCCCGACGTTGTGTCCTTGGGAAAGGCACTTTACACGAATTTTCCTCACTTCACCCAGATGAGAATGGGTACCCAGTTACAGATAGCGAAAGATATTGTCAGTTTGTTAGTGTCGCTTAATCGGCTGCTTGCACTGTATGCTTCCCTGGAAGCTGAGAATGTTTCTGAGTGTTATAGGGTCTGCTGGGGTAATAACATAGTGTAAAGCGCATTATTATTATTATTATTATTATTATTATTATTATTATTATTATTATTATTATTATTATTATTATTATTATATCTTTCTAGAGAAAACTAAAGGGAAGAATAAGGATGCACAAACACACTATAGTTTGTTAAGATGAAATAAGCATAAAACTCAGTAAATTAAACCTAATGAATCAACATTACTCGAATGCCCCACAATCTTAGAGACACAAAATAGATTGTAAAAAGCTATGTCTGCGCAAAACAGTGTGTGTACAGAAAGACAGAGGAACAGAGGAACAGAATAACATAATCTTTTTTTTTCTTCTCGAAATAACTTCTTCATTTTTTTGTCTCTTTTGAATCCATATTATAGCTGCTACACACTTTATGAGTGTAGTACTTTCCCACGTTTCCTATTGTCTTTGAAACAAACATAAATAAGCGAGAGGCTCCTTAACTAAGACTATTATATGCCCTATTCCACCCCAAGTGTTTGGAGTACTTACTGACTGGAGATTAAAGGGGCAACAAGTTGACATCTCACCAACACACTCTTAAGGATGAAGAGTTGCGTCCCCTACACCACAAACGCCAAAGCCATGCCCCTTTTTGCTTCAGTAATTTTATCACCTTTCGTCAATCATTCTGGTCTCGGTGTCTTATACTTTACTGGGTTTTGTAGTTTGAAGAATAGAACTACCCATATGCAGAATTTTTCGTGAGGTGTATATATGTAATTATCATTTCAGCAAATCTCCGCACATAATGACAGACTGAAGTAAAAGCAAGACTACAAAATTGATCTAGTCAACTCTAGAGACCCCATATTCTCTAATCTAGTGTAAGCTGATTTCACAGCTGACAAATACCTTGTACAAATCTGCACTGTCATTTTTTACAATGAATGCTCTACCCCCCCAAATCAATAAACTCAGTGCCAACCCAGGCTGAGAAAGGATACAACACCCCAGCAGAAAGACTGAGAGACTGAGATACTCGATAAAACTCTCCCAACACGAGTGAGACTCAGGTCTACTGCTTGTGACCGCGAAGTGCCAAAGAATCTAGTTAAGTACTACACTACAGACTCGGGTGCACTGTCATTTCCTGAAATGACATAATCCTTAGGGATGAAGCCGGTTACGGGTAACTATAAACGCAACGGAGGACCTCTCGAGGCCAACACTTTTGTGTGTTTGCAGTGTACACTGACATCTTATCAACATTTCAGCTATAGCAAAAGATACCGCACGACATCTTGAGTAGCTCTTGTCATTCTCCGAGGAGTCATATTATGACATTATCTGCAGCATTGCTGAGCCATAACCCACTGACCTTCGCAGAGAGAGAGAGAGAGAGAGAGAGAGAGAGAGAGAGAGAGAGAGGGAGGGAGAGAGAGAGAGAGGGAGGGAGAGGGAGAGGATTTCCAGAAATGGTGTCACTGAACTGTGATTAATACCAGAGACGTTGTTCTTCTGTAATGAAATGGTCTTGCTCAAATTACATAAACTGTGTGTTGAGGCTAAATTTCTCACATATTCATTAGTAAAGCACATCTTTCCCTGTCTTATCAACTTTTTATTTTACTTTTCTCCTCAGAGCCTGGATGTTGATGCCAGTATTTGCAAATATGTCTATCCTACTCCCAGCAAAGCTGTAGGTATGACAGTGTCCATTCATAAGCTCAAGGTTAGTGTAATGAGAGCGTGATCATATGTTATAGCCTTGATGTTATCATAATATTTCCAACGTAATTCTCACATTATGGATTGTTCTTATTCTTTGTATTGGCTAATGAGATACTACACTACGGCAGAACGACTGACATACTCTGTAATATAAAATTTTTGCTGTTTTGGATCTATTAGAGCATTAATCTTCCACCACGGTCCTTACCGGATGCATTTTTTTGTTTTCTAGTATATTGCAAGCACCCACCCCCCCACCCCAAATTACCATCCATGAGCCTTATGTTTACTAGATCTAGTACACTTGGATATGAAGTATACAGGCAACTCAGCATCTTATCTGAGACTGCAAAAGGCACAAATACATACTAACCACAAGAAAAGTGATAATTAATGTGACTTACCCTTTTGGGCCGAAATATGTCAACCGTTCAAAATTGCAAGCAATGTTCAAGAATTTACGCATTAGTTTCCGTAGTTCTGTAAGGTATAAATGCAACCCTCATTTTTCTCTACAAAGTTGTCCTTTCGGAAGAAAATATTTTTATAGGTTCTAATATTAGTATTAACATTGCCATGCATTAAGATGTTCTAGTCAATTTATTGATAGATGCCAAGAATAATTTCTTTCCACCAGTGCAATATATATGTAGCCTGCGTTGTTCAATTCTGTGTTAGTTTGTGAAAATTTGGTTTTTATAATAACTAGCTCAGCTTTGTGTAAATCTATTCTGTGCAGGTAGTTAGCTTTTTCTTCCACACAATGTTTAACTTGCCACATTCAGCCGTGTGCGGGTCTATGTTTTGTAGAGATAGCTAATAGAATAAGGATTTACTTTTCTTCCTGAAAGTGTGTAGCTTGCCATGTTTGGCTCTGCGTGAGAGTGTGTTTTGTAGACGTTATTTTGCTACCTCAGAATTACAAAATTCTCACTGACATTTTTTGCCGTCTTGAGTTACTAAGACCATGAGGTCAAAACAAAATGTTCCGTCTCTTCTATCAAAACCGTTAGATTATTCGAAGTTGTTATCAAGATATTCAAAGAATTGTATTCGCAAAAGCTTGACATGATGAACTCAAAATCTTTGACGTCAAATTTCTTAAAACAAGGCCATGAGCAGATATTACTTTGTAATTCTGAGGTAGCGATTTAATAATTGGCTCTGTATCCCCCAGACAGTGTGCAGCATCCCGCGTTCAGCTCTGTGTGAGTCTGTGCTGTTTGGCCTGCCCCTGGTGGCCGTACCCACAGCCTGCTGGACTATTGACTGGGAGGAGCTGGAGACGAACCAGAACAACTTCAATGCATTGTGTGCGGAGCTTGTGGCAAATGTATGACTTCTTGAACATTCTATTTTTGCAATTTTGAACAGGTGACAGTCTATTAGCTCAAGAGGATGTCAACATTTTTTTTCAATGTGACTGTTGTAGTAGTATCATTGAGAGAAGATTGCCTGTGTTTGTTTTGATGTTGTCTGCTCTCTCTACTTTATTTCAGCGTTACTATTGCCTTTGTTGTTAAAAAAATGTTGCTGCTACCACTCTCCTTCTACACCCTTTCTTTGAAGGACAAGCGAATTAATTACTGTGAATTTTGCATCCCCTTTTGCAAAAGAACCAGCAACATAGAAAGAAGTTGATTGCGTGTACTCTAATAAATCCAAGCATGTGTAGACGTAGAATGAGGCACTGGCTCTACTGCAGGTGATTTATAACGGCTCTCTTATGCTCCACAACTTATATTTTTCAGTGTTGAATTCACAAGTCCTGATAAAATTGGATAATCGTATGTTGTAGAAAGAAGTGTAGAACGATACAATACAGTACAGTAGCATGCTAAGAGTGGTCAAAAGTATGCTGAATTGATGTGAACTTCCACTCAACAGGAACGGTTACAATGAGACTGACTTCCCCAAAATGTCTAAGTGCTGCTACGAACGGACACTGCCATGTTATGTTTTCTGTCTAGTTCATTTTGCTTTGAAGACACATTTAGTGTTTTTTTTTTGACAATTGTTGTATTTTGTGTTCTCGTCTCAGGACAGTGTGCTTTTGCTGCAGCTGTTGGATGTGAACTCTCCGACTGGTGCTGTCCCCTACAGCAGCAGCTCCTCTGGCACTTCTGTGTCTACCAAGTCAACAGCAGGAAATGTCTCCTCCAGACAACTGTCAGCATCAGGGTATTTTATCATGATCCCGTCTGATAACAGGTACCTGCAAACTGGGAGCAGAAAGGTTCATAAACATTATTTTTAAAAATCGAAGTGAAATGCCTGAAGAAATGATAATATGATCTGTCTTTAAACTCAAATGGTAGAAAATTTGGAGTTTGACTGGTCGTTACCGTGCTTTCCTTCAATTTATTTCCTTCTGATTACTACAGATGATTAAGTGAGGAAAGGTATGTCTGTCTAGACTTTAATTTTAACAGATCTAAATTGATTCCTGTCCAGGATCCCCTAGTCAGTTGAAGGGTAGGTTAGAGGGTAACAGAAAGACCCAAATAGAAAATCGTAGAAGGCACAGCATCTCTTGTGGTAGAATGATATACATAACACTTAGGCTTTTTAATATTTTTGGCATTTTCTTTAGTGTATCATGTCTTCTTCCTTTTATTTTGATCATGTACTTCGCTAATTACTCCGCATTCTAGATTATTTATTTGTGTATTGTAGAGTGCTACATTTCTGTACAAAAAGAAACATTCTTGGTTAATCTCTAATCTCTTTACTTGTTGTGTGCACCTTTTGAACCTTACCTGATGTGCTTTTCTTCATGTCATTCAAACAATTAAACAAGAGAGTGAAATGTTTTTTGTGTTAAGTATCCACTTTCATATCGTTCTATAGCTTTACTTTGCTATTTCTACAGGACTCTTCTCTTGAAGAGTGTTGTATCCGCCGAACTACTGTTACCGTCCAGTCGTTCACAAATAATGAAGCCTCTGACTAAAGAAAGTGAACTGTGTATCCAGGCCTCTCTCTCTCAGGTAGCCACAACACACATCTTTGAATTTTGATTTAATTAAACAGTTCACACTGAGAATGAACACAAGTCCAGTTGTATCTCAGCATTTTGGTTGGGTATCAAACCCTTTCTGAGTTTCTAAGGCATAGCTCTCTTGATGAACCTGTGTCCATTTGTTTACATGTATTGGTAAGAAAACAAACTAAGAGTGTAGGCCCCGGTCATATACCACCAGGACAATGTACTCATGGACTCAAAGACATACAGACGAACATAACTAAGCATATATAATGCATAATTCTTCGAAGAATATAGCAACACCGCAGCATTTTGTCATGGATCGGAAACGCTCGTCATGGATACAGTCAAGCTGAAACACCTCTCTGACACATTCTCAACTTCTACAACCAGTTTACCATAATAAAAAAGACTGGTTAACGAAGCTTTCAAACTTTACAGATATCAAACTTCGTTTTCTGAACAACAAGCGGCTGCATTACACACTGTCACAACAAATGAATATCGCTAATCACACTTTTGAGCTTTCTGATTGCTCAGCCGCACAATATTGCAGTCTTCCTGCAATCTTTTTCTCTGATATTGATGCTCCGATCTTTATAAGGTGGCTCGGTAAACTAGATGTACGAAATTAACTTCATTAGACTGATGGTATTCTTTTTCCTAATCCTTTTCCTTCTCTTCAGCTGGATTCCTGTGACCATTTCAACCCACTGAAGTTCAGCACAGGGTTATTCTCAGCCCTGAAGCGTTGCAGCTTGCCCAAGTATGCTCTGGATAAAGGATGGGCTGCCAAAAGGAAAATCGAGCTGAAAAGATTGAACAAGGTCATCATATTAGAACGCATTTCCTGTTTCTTTTTTTTATTGTTGCTGTTTATTAGCTTTTATGTATATCCTGTTTTGTGCACACATCAGTGTATCTTCGGTCCGAAGGTGTGCAAGACCATGGAATATCACTTGTAAGTTTTCCAGTAATACAAATGTAAATGGCATTTGTAGAGCGCACTTACCCGCTCAACATCAAGCCTTATGCGCTTTACAATCTATATTAATAAGCCTGCAAAACCTAAAACACTCAGAAATACTCTTGACTCCCCAAAAAGCATACAGTGCAGGCAGCTTAAGAACTAACAAATCGGCAAGATCTGTTACTGTCTAAAGCCGGGTACCAATTGCCATCTGGGTGAAGTGAGTAAAATTCTTGTTAAGTGTCTTTCCCAGGGACACAACGTACCTGGCCCCTTACGGGGTTAAAACCCAGGAGTTTGGTTGTGAACTAAAGGATGAACTGCAAAAAACTTTGAAATAGATGTAATAGATCTCTCACCGAGAAATTGACCCAACACGTGTGCAACAATAATGAATATTTCTGGTACATAAACACATTCTTACTCTCTTTCGCTGGCTCCCTCTGTTTCTCTAGAATTGATGCCAAACCTTCCTTCACCATAGACACATGCACTTAAACTTGACCTCATATAAATATATAAATACAAATCGTTTATATATATATATATATTTATGTAATATGTGAAGCATCGTGGTGGAATCAGGCTCTCGTCAATTTTTGGGCATGTAGAGTTATTGGTATCATCTTAAAGCTTGTTCATTTGTCTATATTTGGATGAAAAAAATATCCTTTCATCTTGAATACAAATTGAGATATTTACGAAAGAAGGAGGTGGGGGTCACTTGTTTTCAGAGGTAAAATTAGTGAGAAAATATCCGACAGAGGTTAGTTATTTCCTTAGCTTAAGAGTCCATGATAATCGAAAATTAACATTTTCTGTGCCTTTAATCAACGTTTTTCAGAAAAATCCACACATATATTAGTTCTCTAAAGGACATGAAAGGTGCTGAGCCAAAAAACAAAAATTTAATAAAAATTTACAAACCTGCGGGAAAATGCAAGTTTCTTCATTTTGATTATTTTGACGAGAGCCTGATTCCACCACGCTGCCTCACATATGATATAATGCATGTGTGCGTTTCTGTTGTGTATAAATAATAATGACTACGGTACTGAGACTTCACAGTGTGAGAGCTGCCTCTGAAATTACTTATATCTGTGTCTCCTCACTTCTTAAACTTGTACTTGTACTGATACAAAGATAATGTGTCTTGAATATATTATAAGCTAGTTTATGAAGCGCATAGAGCTTGCTGCTGAGCGGGGAGTTGCGCTATACAAACGCTATTTATTATTATTATTATTATTATGTACCAACCGAACATGTATTAAAATATTTCTCTATGTTTCCAGGTGTCCTGTGTTGAACCAATGGTTCCGTCTTCCCCCAAAGTAGCAAGACCTGGGAACCGCCTGACTGCTAACATGTGGTCGAATCCATTGAGCAATGTTGTAAAGAAGGCTAGTAAACCAAGCTCCAGACAGAGCGACAACAACTCACGACAAAGTGCAGTAAAGAACAACATCTCAAAAATGAGTTGGAAATCTGGTTTTGTCAATGACTAAGCGAAAAGGATCTCTGTGTATTCCCAAGGGGATCTGTTTAGCAGTTGAAACAATAAAGTAAGATCAGAATCGTGAATTCTGGAATGGTTTTTTAAAAATATGAAAGTCGAATTGCCGTGAAGTCAAATTTGGGTTTTGGAAATCTGAAAGGGACAAAGGGTTCAAAATCATGTTGGGAAAGTTACTGATAAGTTAAGATGCGATTTGCCCCCCACTTGCAACAACATGTATAGATGGCTCTAGCCATCTTGACTGAAATGTGAATAGTGAATAGCATGTCGTTGGTGAAAACCACAGGAGCTGTGAAATAAAGTGTGGCTACCTCTACTCTGCCCCGTCAGAATATTAGGTAGCTGAATTGACCTAAAAAAAGACCAATTCCTCAACAGCTGTGGGATGAGAGACTTGCTGGCGAAGACTTGGAAAACGAGAAAAAAGTAGCCGTGACTTTCATTTTCACCACCATTTGTTAAAGAACCTGTTTTCGCCATGAACTTGTTATTTCTACATTAATTTCAGAGTCTTACACAGGTTGCCCAGCTTCCGGTCTCAATAATAATCTTCTTCTTTTTTAATGCTGTTCCAGCACGTTGTCTTTGTGTATTTACTTTGATTTTATCGTTTATGAAATTGCTGAACTGATCTATGCTTACCCCTCTGCACAGAATCAGTGATATTTTTTCAGAAGGAAAAGGTTCTTGTGAAATTGTAAGCTGATAATTTATTTGAAATGTGCTTAGGTTAGGCTAATTCTATGAACAGGTTAGATCTATTCTGAAGTTCGATTCCGCCCATACTTCAACAACCTTCGCATGAAAAAGTTTCATTACTTAATAAATCAGCCGCTTAACCCAAGATGGGTTGATTATCACAGACATATACATACAATCATGTTTTGATTTAAAGAATAATGCAATTTAAAGAAATACTGCTGTTTACGGATACGTGATTGTAAAGGGGCATCTTTTGAGATTTTGAAGGTGAATTTTTGCTTTTTGCTTAGACTTTAAGTAAGGTAATTTGAGATTAGTCTAGCTCCAGTTTGTGATTTGTTAAACTTACATCTACCTTTTTGAAGATTGCAAAGGAAATATGAATTCAATTTGAAAGTTTCCTTTAAATCCCTTTTCAGTTTGTAGCCCAGAGTACTAGAACAAAGATAAAGGTAGTCACTTCATGAGGTTAAAGTTAAGATGACACCCATTCCAAGTCTTTGAGTTACCAGCAAATATGTTGTTACTGTTTGATGGTTCTTTGATTCTAATTTCTAGCTTTACTTCAAAATCTAATTTTTTCTTCATTTAGAAACCACTGTCGAACCTGTCCAAGACGACTCACCATTCTCGAGGGGAAAATTGGTCATGTTAAACAGGTGGTCTTCTTGGACAGTGTCATTATAAAAAGCAAGGGGGAAGTCGCTGTTTTTTGTACAGGAGACTGTATTGGAAAGGTGGTCGTTAGGGCAGATTCTACTGTATTCTCATACTGGTTATAACAGTAGTAGTATTGTTCTGATGATGTCTGTACAAATAAAATATGGAATGTTGTTTTTATCAGATCTGATGAATGAAGCCTTTGTCTGTGTATAAAACCACGTTCTCATACCCTTTTGGGTGTTCTTGTTTGTTTGTTTCTTTGTTTGTTTTTGGTTTAGTTCAGTCTAGATAAGCTTCACATCACAAACAACATGGACAGAAAAGCAGCTCTCATTGTATATATCATTTTTATTATCATAAACTTATTTGCTGCACTTGGAGTGGGGAAGATCCGTTTGTTTGCGTAAAGAGACGCAGATCTATACAATGACTATCACACAACGACCATTGAGTGCAGGGAAAGAGTATGACAGCCAGGCGGAGACAACAAATGGAAATAACAAAAAGAAGACTTTGGCCTGCCTGCGGCACTGAGTACCCTCCAACCTCCTTCTAGAGAACTTACAGCTACATGAATTATAATCATTTATAGATGTGTTTATTGCAATAGGCCCAAATTCGTCTGCAAAGTACATGTATGTGAATATTTCTGTGCGGAGATGCTTTTAATACAACATAGGCCTAGATTTAATTTTGTAGGCCTACTGTATTGTATTTGTATTTTGGTCAAATTTTTCAAAATCAAACATGATCTTTTAGGTCACGATCGGGTCCATTTAATATGCTACAAATCATGGCCATTAAGTGACCAGAAGGCCACAACGACTACGTGTCAGAATAATAACCTTATTGAGGGGTTCAGATCCTCTGTTTGGCGGCTGTCATGGTCTAACTAGAGGTATGGTGTTCACTTCTCATTTTATAGATCCAGGGGTTCGAAACCTGACAATGACAGCGAAGGAAATTTGTCTTCTCTTGAAAAGAATTCTTCGTTCACCTTTCTTGCTCTCTAGGCTATAATCATGTTTGTCGTCTATTCGAACTACATACATTTGTATGTTCATCGGCCCCGGAAGGCCTCCACACTTTTTACCATAACTACAGAAATTGTCTGTGAAGAGATACTGAGTTTTGTGACTGAATGGATGAGAGGTAGTTCGGTAATTGTAATAATTGTATATCAATCTATGTTTTTCGTCCCCAATTGACATAATTTAGATCTTGAAATAATTTGGCGGCTGCTTGGACTCAGGCTACCCAGGGCATACTTGGACTGAGAGGAATACAACGTCGTCCTTACACTTACACTCAGACAGAGCCAGAATCTATTCGATAAAATAGACCCTCCCCATGCGGGAATCGAACTCACTTCTTCTACGTGCCACAATTACGATTACAGTTTTACCCAGTATGTTGCCTTCACGGTAGATCTGCCGGTACAGCTTACAGCAGCAAACCATAATTGTTGTGGTGCCGAAAAGTACATGTATTCCTGGACAACGCTTAAAATATCCGAGAAATCATACCCATTTGTTTTTCTAGATCTAGATCTAATTCAAGTTATTATGTTATTTATTGAAAATGATGACAGGTGTAGGTCTGTGTGAACATGGACACATGCAAACGCACACGCCTGGGCACACGCATACAGTAGCCTACACATGCGCGCGCACACACTCATGCGCTCGTGCACCCACACACACACTCACATACACACGCGCACAAACACGCACATGTGGGTTGCTGGCGGGTGCCCTGGTATGGTTTGCTTCTTCTTTCGTATCAAACATCTATGGTCTTTATCTCCCCTCCTTCTTTCTTGTGTTTGTTACTCTCTAAGTCTCTTGTAACACCTCTAATCTTCGGCACTTATATGACCTTATTTAGTTGCAAGTGCCGTAAAACACTTATTGAAAAAAACACACGAAAAAACACGAACATGCACACAAACAAACAAACAAACACACACCCACACACACTACACACACAATGCAGTTTCCAAAACTTCTAAACCTTGACAATTACGTGTAGGTAAATTGCCCTAGGTGCAACTGCAACCACTTTCACTATCACTAAATAAAGCAGAGGAGTAAAAAAAACAACAGCACAGTCTTTTGGGTTGTCAGTTGACTTATAATCCACTTGCTTTTTTCATTTCCCCTTACTGAAGCTGGTAAATCCAGTAGTGTTAGTGTTAAAATATTTGTTGAAAAACTTGTTTTGTGAAATTGGTATGCAAGTTGTTCAAGGGGAAATTTAAAAAAAGAAAAACAATAGTTTCAGTTTTCATTGCCGTTGTTTTCTTCATCAAGACGAGTCATTGATTATTTGCTACTGATTGTGATAAGCATTAATTGCATTTGCTGTACATAAAAATAAAACTATTAAAACAGCAGGATGTCTGTATTTGCACCAAGGGCATGGCAAAATCACCCAAGCCCTACATGCAACCAGGCTAAACTTGTTTGGCTCTCATACCAAATACCATTACTCTTTCTTTTCTTACCTAGCGAAATGACATAATCTTAACCGTCCAGTGAACCAGAAACGCCAGTAACATGTACGTGTATGTTTCTTCCTTTTGGTGGCGAAATATTGTGAATAACATTTTTAAAAATTAACTAGGAAATCAAGTGCATTCGTTTTCTTTATTTAAATAATAGGCACATGTCCGTCTGTGTGAACCTGGGCTCACACACACAAACACGCACGCGCACATACACACACTCACACGCACATGCGCACATATTCGCCTGCGCCCGTGCGCACATACGCGACTAAAAAACTAAATTCACATACAGTAGGATACACACCGGTACACACACGCACAAAGTGCGGTTATCGATACTTCTGAACCACTAAATGTGTTCAGAATCTTTTCGTTCGGTTATTTTCCTGTCTATTCTAAACTTCTCTGGCTCTCCCAGCACTATTCTGTATTTCACACAGTAGGCTATACATGTACACATACAAGAGGCCGGAAAAGCCATTCTTCTCTCTGGCATGGTGTCTCCCAACCCACTCTTCGGGTTCTCGGCCTTTCAAAAGAACGACGTAACAAAAATTCAATAATGTATGTTTGGCGAAGATCTGGTGTCAACAATCAAACAATAACTGCATCTTTCTCTTTCCCGCACATCCATTTTTCTGTTTTTCTGTCTCCTTCTGCTATTATTTGTTTAGGTATATAAAGTATTTAAAAAACAAACAAAAAATTATTGTTTGCTTAACTCATATTTTCCTCGAAAATGAAGAAACTGCTTACTCATCGAGGTGGTGAACCCCCCCCCCCCCTCACACACTTACAAAACAAATTCTACTAGCGACAGTCAAAATTGCGGACCAGAAATGCGAAGTTGCCATTGTGAAAACCATGTACCGTAAGCAAGAAATAGCTCAGAATGAGTCGGAACAGAAGTTTTTACACAGCTGGAGGATCCCCCAAAGTGAATAAAGCTCCAGCTTGTGCGAGTGGAATAGAGGGGTGAATTACAATAACCTGGTATCCAAAAATACAGAAGATTGGTTGCTGGAGAATGAAATCTCGTTTCAAAAACATTTGCGACTGACAGTTCAAACAGTTAGAAAGGTCAAGAAGCACAGCAACCTGGAGACGAACGCGTAAGCATTTTCTTCGCGTAATTTTCACATGCCGGACCTTTTTTCCTTCCTGTCCTATCGCCACCCTTCACTCGCTTTCTGTGTTCCCCTTTCCCAAAGTCTTGTCTCTAGATATCTACATTGCACTCTTGAGCCACGAGACAACAAGATACAGAGTGTGGCAGTTCCTATCAAGGCCCCTTTCTCTGCTGTTTGCCTCTGAGAGATTTAGAATTGGAAAACCTTGCAAGCTTTTTTTTTGTTTTTTGATTGTGTCCTTTCCGCCAAGTCGTATGTTTTATTGCCTCCTGATTTTTGTTACTTCACTCATTTTTTAAACCAATAATACATTGTCTGTAGTTGGATCGGTTTGTGTCCGGCTACCAGTCCCAAATCTGCCCATTGTTTTGTTTTATTTTGCCTTTGGTTACACCATACCATTTTTTCTAGGCCATTTGGTCTCTTTCAGCCAAAATCATCGGTCTTAATTTGACACCTAGAATCTAAATCTACAGGGGGTTTTTTTCGTTTCTCGGTCAACATTTTTCAATGCAATAATTTCTGCCCTGAGTACCTCTTGTGCTTGGCCCGAGAGAAGGGCAGCGTCTGGATTGACAGACTATTGAGAGAATGGTAAGAAGAAAAAAAGCAGAAGAGATAAAATTTCGTAAGGAAAAAAAATCTATCCACACGAAAAATCGAATAGCAGATTCTCGCTGCAACTCATCAGACAGTGGTCTCCCTTTGGAAGCATCTCGAACGGACGGACAAAGTGGCGGGAAAGCGATTTGCCTTCCATAAGATTGGTTTTATTGCCCACAGGAGGACATTTTGCTCCAATTCCGGTCTTCAGTCGCCTCTTGATCATTGTGATTTGGCGTCACCGGAAGTGTGGGCTAACAAGATGTCTCTTTGCGCATTTTCTTACGCGCAGCTTCCGGTAAGTGTCGATGGAAAGGTCGAGGTGGATAGAACTGATGGGGGAAAGGTGGCGGGGAGTCGGTGGATTTAATCAGGGGCTCCACTCTAGTTGACTGACACTCACGTCTATCCTTGTGTTACCCCCACTCACAAACTTCGAACATAGACGTTGGATGGGAAACCTTGCAGGCGAACTAGATGGGAATTTAGTCACCCAAAAAGCCCCTTTTCTAACCGTTTCTCCTTCTTTAAAAAAAAACCCCAATAAAAGGGGTCCTTGAGAAAAAAGGAGTGTGTGTGTGTGTGTGTGTGTGTGTGTGTGTGTGTGTGTGTGTGTGTGTGTGTGTGTGTGTGTGTGTGTGTGTGTGTAGTGGGGGTGTCGGGTCTTTTTCTTAGTGCCCATTCTTTCTTCTACGGTACCGATGTGACTGGTTTAGAAGGTGCTTTTGTATGGGAATCTCCTAATTCCTTTTCCCCGTATTTGATCACGTTGCAGTGCATCCATATTGTGCTGATCCAGTGCAACTTACATCTGAACAACAACATTAAGAAATTATTAAATGTGTGCCTTAGCGCATATCAGAAGGGGGCAATGGTACGTTCTGCTTCTCAAACTAGAAATTGATTAGCACATTGGTAGGCCTACTGGTATGGTGGTGATCCTCTTTTAGTTCAGTTGCCATCTCGTTTGATTATTATAATGAAACTGGCCTTGGTAGGACTCACCCCTTATGCGTTCCCGGACGTGGGTTTTCTGGGAGGTTTTCAAAGACCTCTGCCGAATTAAGAATTTTTATTTGTTATGGCATCTTCTTTCTA